AACTGTCGTCTTGTAAAAAAGTTCCTTGATAAACGAATAACCATTAAAAACATGATCAACTCCAAAATAACGTTGTATAGAAGCTGAAAGGTTTACTTCGCCATGGAGCTACTACAGGTAGTATACTTAAATACAATAGTCTTACTTCAGGTCAGCACAAACTATACTTTGGAGAGATCTACAACGTGACCGGATACGAATTCCTGGATGCGTATGCTTTCACTACTTACTGCGCTTGCGAAGGAACGTGCTGCGGGCAAGTGCGACTAACAACCAGTAACACCATTGCGTATCAAGAAGTAAATCTCGGTCCCCTAAATCACGTAATGAGTGATGCGGAGCAAACGTTGTACATTGCGAATGTGTTGAACTACGATAATATGCTATGGGCAAAAGCAGACAGTACCGAATGTGTTGACCTGATTTGATTCGATGCCAATGCTTTGTTTCAGGAATGCTGTGCACGAAATGTACAGGGCTTATCAAAAGCAGGGTCAGGTGCACCAGCATCTCTACTCCCGCGCAGGACTCTGCACCCCTTCCGTCAACATTCTCTCAACATTCTCATTCATTCAACCATTTCCAGTCAATTGAAGTTCCATCTTCCCCACACTTGCGGTGGGAAAGTGATCAGAGAGCAAGTCCGGAAAGAGGTGCAGAGTCCAAGAAAGCGGCCGCGTGAGTGCGGACTGCACGTGCACCCGACACTGCATCTGATGAGCCCTAAATGCTAATAATTCAGGCGCAAAATCAATCACATTTGGGCTTTTAGACTTTCACGCGAATACAGGTTGAGAGTCCTTAGCTAGCTATAGAAAGATCTTAAGCTGGAGGTCAAATAAAATGTACATCATCAGGGGCGGTATTTATCAATCTCCCTCCCAATTGCAGTTCGGGTCATTGTTTGCGAGTGCGCGAAAGGCGAGAGCGCCCTTTCCATGATTCTAGAAGGTTGGAGGTGCGTGACGCAAATAGGCAGCAGGGCCCAACCTTTCGAGGTCGGCTGCCGTACCTAACATGGCCAAACTTACCAGATTGCATAATTTCAAATAGACAGAAGATCGATTACCAGCTTGGCTTCGTGTATCGCGGGTCCCAGTAACTGCGCCTGTACCGGCTGTGACCTGTACAGGACCCTTCCTATATACGAGATTGATAAATACCGCCCCAAATTTATCTTGTTGGGCTAATTCCAAATCTGAACTATGTCTGCCGAGCGGGTTACAGGTACCATGAGCGTTCAGAAGCTTTTTTATGCT